GCGGCTGCTGGGACCGGCGGCACGGCGGGTGGCGGGCGGGTACGGGTACGGGCACCGGGGCTCTGGAGGTCACCCTGGGCCGGGGGTAGACCGCTGTGTGGCCCCCGCGGTGGTGGCCGTGGGGCTGCCGGGGGTAGCCGTGGGGTGGCCGTGGGGTTCTCTGTGGGACTGCCGAGGGTGTCTGTGGGGTTCTCTGTGGGACTGCCGAGGGTGTCCGTGGGGTTGTCTGTGGGACTGCCGAGGGTGGCCGTGGGGTTCTCTGTGGGACTGCCGAGGGTGTCTGTGGGGTTCTCTGTGGTTCTCTGTGCGGCTGCCGAGGGTAGCTGTGGGCCGTCCGTGGGGCTCGCTGCGGGGTGGCTGTAGGGCTGGCCGTGGGCCCCATGTATCCCTGCCGCTCCCCGTCCCCACAGGCCTCCGTGCCGGGCTCACCGCCTCACACCAGCGGATGACGAACTCTACCAGCGGACACGGGTGACGGTGCTGGAGCCGGAGTCCCCCAACACCATGTTCATCGAGGGCTACAGCAGCCGCGGCTTCACCATCAGCGGGGACCTGGTGGTGGGACCCTGCGCTGTCCTGCCCCGCACCATCCTCCAGTGGAACGTGAGTGCCCGGCGGTGGGGCCTGGGCCGCTTGGCCCCCACCCACACTGTGGGCAAGCACCCAGGGGGGTCTGCCCCGCTCAGTGCCCTTGGTGTCCCTGCAGGTTGGCTCCTACAGGGACATCTCGCATGAGAGTCTGTCGCTGTTCCGGCTGCTGGAGCCCCAAATAGGTACGTGGGGCGGCCAGGGCCCTGTGCTGTCACAGCCTGCCTGAGCTGGCTCCTGAGCTGTGGCGGGCTGTCAGGGCCTGGCTGCCCCTCGGGGCCAGTGCAGGTCTGCCCCAGCACACCCCGCAGCACCTCGCCAGCATTTTGGGGGAAAGAACTGCTCTCTGGCATCCCTCTGCTCTGCAGCAGCTGGAGGGGCGCAGTGGGGCAGGAGGGGTGCAGCGGGGTGGGCTTCCTCTTTGTTTGGGGTCCTGTAGGGGCGGCTGTGGGGAAGCTGTTGGTCTCTGCAGGGAGGGCAGGTCTGGGCCAAGGCAGCCCTGCCCACCCTTGCCAGCGGTCATGTCCTGGTTGCAGAGATCCTGGTGCTGGGCACAGGAGACAGGGTGGAGCGGCTCCACCCTGCCATGCTGAAGCACATGCGGGAGAGCGGGATTGCTGTGGAAGTGCAGGACACGGTGAGGAGGGGTGTGCAGAGGGGTGCATACAGGCAGCGCCCTAGTGAAAGGGGAGGAGGTGGCACTGGGAATCCCCCCTAGGCTCTGCCTGCCCAAGGACGGACAGGAGGGAGGGGGTTGTGTGCCCCATGGGGAAAGGCTGCATCTCCTGTCAGAGGACTAGGGCTTCACTGCCTCCCTTTTCTATTTCACAGCCAAACGCATGTGCAACCTTCAACTTCCTAACCAGTGAAAAGCGCGTGGCAGCTGCTGGGCTCATCCCTCCACGGGGCACCTACAAGGGGATGTAGGTGCTGCCTGCCACGGCCGCAAGCTGAGCAGCTTTTCCCTTGCCTGCCTGAAGCTCCCGAGCGTCATCGCTCCCGGTGGAGAAATGCTTTGGACTAAACTGTTGGAGCTGCTGGCTGGGTAGTGACTCTGCACACAGGAAGGTGCTGTGAAATGCGTGGGCTCTGCTCTGCCCCGAAGTCCCTGGCTTCTTGGCCTCCTTGCCCAGTCTGGGCTGGGGGCTGCAGGGCATGGCACGAGGCATGAGCATTGCTGGCAGCACCTCACCCACAGCCCTGCTTTTCTGCCGAGGTGGTGCCGGGTGCCTTGGCAGCAAGAAGCCATTGTCCCAAGGCAGGGTAGAGGCTGGTGGGGTGAGCTGCACACCCCCGGGCACGTTTGGGGCTCCACAAGGGAAATACATGTAAATTGGAAGTACAAAGCAATTGCGTAGTGGTTAATGCACAGCAGAGCGAGGCTATAATGCACTGATGGTGTGTGTGCTTGCTGCCCTGTGGAGCTGGCTGGGTGGTGGGGATGGGCTGTGGCTGCTCCCTGGGCAGCATATGTGGTGCCAGGGATGCCACCTGCCAGCAGCTCCCTGAGCACGGCCGGCACAGGCAACTGGTGGGTCCCAGCTGGCACTGGCCTGTCCCAGGCTCTCCTGTGGGGTTTTGTGCCGCCCCACAGTGCTGCTGTCCCCTGTGCAGCCTCGAGCTGCAGGTGGTCCCTGGATGCTGCACCCCACCTCCCTGCAGGCTCAGCTCAAGCAGGGGACATGGAGAGGGTCACTGTCCTGTTGTCCCCCCTAACCTTGCACTGGGATGTGGTTGTGGATGCCACCCCTGGGACTGGGGTGCATGTACCTGATCACAGTCTTGTCCCCCAAACCCTGTCACCTCCATGGGCCCAAGGAGCGGGTGGGGGACGTGGCTGCAGTCCCCAGCCCTGAGTCAGCTGCATTAGTGAATGTTTGACACAATTATGTTGTAGTTCGAGGCTCTGGTTTTAGCATGTGTAAATGTAATTTGACGTCACTGTGCTGCAGAGTGATTTTTTTTTTTTATTTTCAGTCAAAAACATTAGACACAAAACCCTGATGGTAAACGCGCTCTTCAGCTGGAGTTAATTTGCATGTGGTTGGGGGGGGAAAATGACATGACACACACCACTGATACAGGTGGAAAATACCTTAGTCACGTGGTGTTGCAAGCACAGGTAATCCAGCCAAGCCAGGCAGGTTTGCACTGGTCAGGAGTGCAGAAATGCAACCGCCAGCTCCTTTATAATCCTGTGCCATTCCAAGTTCATTGTCCACACACCTTTTGGCAAACAAACTATAGAGGAAGCCTGGGCAAGTGATCTGTACCACCCACACCGACCAGCCCAAGGGGCTGCAGCTGCTGGGGCATGTGCTCCCAGCAGTATTGCCTTCTTGCCCAGCAGCCACTTGTTTTCTGCGCTGATGAAGGTTTTTTTTTAAACACCCAGCACTGCATTATCCACTCAGCCCTGTCTTGGGGCTGTCCCCTCCCCATTCCCCCTCACGCACACCATGTCCCTTCTGGGGCCATCAGCTGCTCCTGAGAAGGTGCAGGAAGCGAAGAAGAGAGCCAAGGAAGTAGAACAAGGGCAGTACAGAAGGAAGAAGGGCTCTGGGCTGACACCAACTGCACATCTTTTCCTCTTTTATTGTAAAACATGGCCAACACGTGCAAGGCTCCAGGTGCCAGCCCAGGATCACTACTTCTGGGTGGCAGGTGGGCCCTCTCACGTGGTGATGAAGCAGCCAAGGGACACAGGGAGCTCCAGGCAGCCCACAGAGTAATGGCACTTCTACAGCAAGAGCAGCTCCCGCACAGGGTGGCGCAGGGCTGAGTGGCACGATGACAGACACAGACGGACCTCCTTCAGAAGAGGCGCTTCTCATACCTGTGAAGGGAGCAGCAAACCAGAGGGACCTTTTACCGACCCACCTCACCGAGGGCAAGGACCAAAGGCGCAGTTAGGAATGGCTCCTGCCCTGCCAGCCCATGGTACACTGGCAGGGACCAGCTCCTCTGCTCATGCCCAGCTGCGAGAGGAGTGCTGGCCCACGCCAGACAACATGCTGTGGCTCAGCCCAGCTGCACAGTGGCAGGTGAAGCCAGCAGCATGCGAAGCCAGTGGCAAGGCAGCTGAGGCACCGGACAGCTGCGCTTATCTCTCTGTGACACCCATCCCGGGGAGACAGGTCCTGCCAGCAGCACTTACGAGTGGAGGCCATGCACCCCTCCTTCCACCTGGGCAGACGTCGTCCTCTTCTCAAACTTCAGCTCTCCCGAGTACATCATGGCTCTGAGGGGGAAGGACACCCATCACAAGCCAGCCAGCATCCAGGAAAGACAGTGCTCTGGCACACATTCAGCTGGAGCAGCTGGGACAAGGGACACTGGTTCCTCCAGCTGCAGCCAGAATGGTCTTTGCTGTGCTCCTAAGAGCCAGGCAGAGTAAGGTAACCCCAACATTTCAAGCCCAGCCAGCTGAATATGCCACAGGAGACCATGCTCCTGCATCCCTAGGGCTGGCAAATCTATGACACAGTGTGCACTGGAGATGAGGGAAGAGAGCTACAGCAAGGTCAGGCCACGCAGAACACACTGCAGCTTGGGTACAGCTTGCCCAGGGACCTCAAATGGCAGCACTGTGACCTAACCAGAGCACAAGCGAGGGGAAGCACTCACCGGACTTGGGTAAGGCTCTTGGCACCAATATCCTGGCAGGAATGCTGGATCCCAGCAATCAGGTACGGAATGAACTTGTGGATAGAACCCTTGTCCTGCACTGCACCAGAGACCCCCTGGGCCACTTTGATTTTGTCTGTCTCACTGCATGAGAGCACAAATCAAGGAAGTTTATGAAGCAGAGATGCCCCAAAAGCTTGATCTGCTGCCCCAAAGTCCCATCTCTTACCTGAAATACCGGTTCTGGCTGCCCAAGTTCTTGTCCATGGCATCTAGTGAGCCCATGCCACGGTATTTCTTCAGCCTAATTCCATCTGAGAAGAAGTACTCACCTGGGGCCTCCGTGGTGGCAGCCAGGAGAGAGCCCATCATCACTAGCACAAGAGAGCACCAAGAACAGCATGTCAGCAGCAGGAAGGCTGTGACCGCAAAACCCTCAGGGTCCCTGGGCACAGCACTATGCTGGACCCCTGCCATGCCCCCAGCCACCTGCAGGTATATGCCCTCGTGCCCGGAATCCAATGCCATATGGAAACCCTTCCTAAGAGACTCCTTACGAACGTGCATGACCCAGCTGCCCAATGCGCTACTCACCTGTGGAGGCCCCAAGTGCGAGGGCCTTTGCAATGTGCCCAACCGTCTGGATCCCTCCATCTGCAATCACAGGGACACCGAATCTCCTGGCATATTCAGACACCTTGTACACCGCCGTGGCCTGGGGGCGGCCGCACGCCAGCACTGCGGGCAGGGAGAGAACAGAGAAATGGTCAGCTCCTATGCAGCAGTGCGTTCCCTCCCCAGCAGGCCCTTTTAGGCTTCCAGCACACACATGCTCCAGCACTCGGGAACGCACAAATCCCTGGATGCTCCTTCCCTAGGCCGAGTTGCAAGAGAAGCGGATGCCCAGGAGATGCCTGCTAGGACATCCTCATGGCCCTCTACTCCAGAAACTGTGGGTGACCTTGGGACTGGGGTCTTTGACCAAATGCCTGGGATCAGCCGAGACTCGCAGCCCATCCTGGTGCACAGCAGACGTGTGGGGAGCTTGGGAAGGAAGGGGAGCAGACTCCAAAAGCCCCTCTCCAGAGCATCACTGGAGCCATGTCCCACCGCTTGCTCCCTCCTAGTGGTGCCAGACCCCTTCTCCATATACCCAGCAGCTGTATGATGTGCTTCTTGCATGGAAAGGCAGCTGGCTGGGAGAGAGCTGGTATGTATAATATGTGTATATATATATATATACACATATATATCTGCACACACACAAACACACATGCAGCAGTGGAAAAGGAAATGGGCAGGGTGATTTGATGGCTTACAGGAAATAATTTATGTTCCTGCCCCACAATGTAGCAAGGATTCGGTCAAGTTTAGCTGCCCCATGGGAAGGGAGTTATTAGCTTTGGATTTACCTGCTCTTCCCAGTCGGTAGCAGTTAAGAGGCTTCCCACTGTGCGAGGGAAAACCAGCACAGGGCACATCTGGCGACGCATTTGTCAGCCACAGGCATGCAAGGACACTGAGATAAGCTTCTCTCAGGGAGACTTCCCTTACCCACAATTAACTGGAAGCCTTTTCTCCAGTCACTGTTAGTCCAATACACTGGGTAAGATTATGGCCATGCAGGATTAGTACTTTGGAGCGTGAACTCCAGGTGTGGTTTAGCCTGCCTGGCAGCAGCACTGGCAGCGTACATCCCTGGCAGAGGTTTGCCAAGGCCGGGAGTCTGCAGTTGCTCCTCTCCCAGTGCTCAGCAGCAGCTGCTGAAAGAGGGAAGCCAGACTCCAGGCTGAGATCATGAAAGAACTGATTTTAATCGAACAAAACTTGGCGTTAAGCTAGGGCTTAGCCAGCCAGGGAGAGTCTGCCAGCTATAACATGAATGCCATTAGTCTTAAAGAGATGGTCTCGCTTGGTACTGCACTGCTAAAGGCCACGTTGCAGCTGCAAAATGCTGCAAGGGAAGAGCTCTGTGGAGAGAAGCACCCAATTTTGGAGGGTCTAGAATCCAGAGTCTCTGTGATTGTGTTGTACACAGTGCAGGGCCTGCAGAAACCTCACAAGAGCAATCAGAGAGACCAGCCCTTTAAGGAACAGCTTGGCTCAGGGCCCCTGGGAACATCGCACCGTTCCGAATGTCCCAGTGCCCAGTGCCACAGCTTCAGAGCGCAGGCTTCCAAAGCAGGGTTCAGAGCACACACACGCCAAGTGGTCTGGTGAGGGTTTGTCTTTTTTAGCGTATCTTGCAAAGGGTGTCCCTACAAGATCATCTGCTAGAGAAAACCTGGGATCTTTAACAAAAACCTCTTTCCCTTTGAGGTGCGTCAAAACTAGGAGAAAGGGCAAAACCCAAGGCTCACCTCAGGTGACTGCTTGATCTGGTAGCACTGGAGAAGTACAGAGCAGACAACGCTGCACCCTGTGCTGGGCAAGGGAAGAGCCCTTTCTCTCCACAGGTGTCGGTGGGGAAAGACATGGTTCTGGTACACAGCTGCCAAGGCGGCTGTAAGCAGTTAAGTCCCTCTGTAACCCCAGGGGAGGTAGCTTCGAGTGAAGCTTAGCCAGTGTATAACTGTCCCACAACTGGGGCCAGATTTAGAGCAGGATCAAAGACTGACTGCTCAGTGATCACCTCCCAGCACTGGATCAGCAGGGGCATGCCCGGCTAGAGATCCAGAAGATGCAGTCAGAAAGCCCAGTCAGGCTCCTAACTGGATTTTGGAGTGGAGGTTGGACAGGCCTGAGTGCCCTCAGCTTTGACAGTTCAGACCCTGCTTTAGGAATTCAGAAAGGCTTCTCAGCTTCCATTTCAGATTCAAAACCAGTATCCAAAGCCACAAAACCCCAAGTGCATCTACAGCTAAATTATTCTCAAACAAGCAGTAGGGCCATGTGCAGCCAAATCAGGGTCCTGCTTCAAGACACGTAATTAGGGTTGGGAACAGGGCAAGTGACTTACTATAGGTGCCCGTGACAGTAGAAGGGCATTTGGGGCTGTGGGACTTTAGGTCTGGAGGGATCTTTGGAGCAGCTAAACAAAAACAAACACACAGATTTTAGAGACAGAAGAACAGCAGCAGAACAAAGGACCCCAGCAGTGACCTGCTACTAGGCAGAGCATACAGTGTGGGACAGAGCTGACCTTGCAAACCCTTCCTAGCCTGAGCCAAACCAGAGGCCAGATCCAAGCCAGCCGGGCCCAGCTGTGCACAGCACATGCTCACCCTACCCCAGCAGCTGTCCACAGAGGTGACCCCCCCCTAACCCAAA